TCACTACTTGCTATACCAGAATCATAGAGCTACACATACCGGTACAAATTATTACCTCTTTTCTAATCATAAAAAAAAGTTGTAAAGCGAAACAGTGGAAACACTGTTGTTGGAATGAAAACTTGATTGTGAATCAGGGTCCTATGCTCATCTGAACATTGAAATCATACCAAAACCATATAACTGGCCAGGGCTTATCGACAGTGCGCACTGCCGATTGGCCAGCTAGCTGTCTTGTCCAAAGCTAGTCCTTTATACATTTCTTTATATGTTGTTATTTATTTTGTACGCCCCTTTTGCTACACACAATTTTTTTTTTTTTACAATTTGCTTACAAATTTTCCTCTGGTCTGAAGTGGCCGTTATCTCTTCTGCTTCTTCATGAAATCTATTTTGATGGCCTGCCATGCTGCACCCTAGAACCGGAAAGAGTAACTAAGCCATAATAATTCTTGGTGGGTAAACACGGTATCTCATTCACCTCTATTCTTCCTGTTACATGAAATGGCATTTCCGTATCCTGGCTATACTGATAAATTAAAACCTCTTTTGAGAGGAAAGATTGAAAAATGAGGAAAAACTATGCTGGCTCATATTTTGTTTTTCTGTTACTGGTCTTTCAATAAACAGTAGGGAGCCAAGCAGTATAACCACCTGACCAAAATTGAATTAAAGTTCTTTCAATCATATTTTGAGATAACGATGGTAGACATGATATCATTTAATTGGCTTTCTCGCTCCTCTTTCACCACCTAAACAACACACACAAATACATGCTTACACACTTACTCACACTCACTCACACTCACTCACTCACTCACTCACTCATCACTCACTCTCACACACCCACCCTCACTCAGACATAAACACACACGCACACTATTTTTCTAAAATGTTAAAACTTTCCACAACCATTATAATAGAATATGCCAGACCTACATTTTATCCATTAAAAATAAATAAAAGGTTTAACACGAGGCTTGAGAGATTTAGCTAGGGTAAAACTACCCACCCCCCCCACCCCCCCCCCCCCCAAAAAAAGCCCTATGAGCATACCCCTCAAAAAAAAATCAACATTAACTTTAATGTACAGAACCAAGTCAGACTTGGGTTCCTTGTATCAAGTACTCTACTAACAAGTATTTGTCTGAAGTTAGAGACTATTTTAATCTCCCTTTACAAAATCAAAGAGAAAGCTAGTATGTTCAACCTGTTGTCTACTGAACTCTCTTATCCCTAAAAGGCCTTATACAGGAATTATCCAGTTCCTGGAAGGCAACAGGTTAATCAATCTAGGTATCAAACTTACAACTTTAAAAGGGAAAAAAATTGTTTGGTGACTGTTTGTTTGGGAGGTACCATTTAAATTGAAGCGAACTCTTCTTCAATGATTTTCAAGACCCATATTCTACAGTGTAAGAACATTGCCCATTTTTAGGCACATGGATATTACACCTTTTCTGTTCACCTATATAGATAGACATAAAACCAGCCTTTTCCCCACTGTGTATGATAATGGTCCTGCCCTCATGGGAAAACAGCCTGTGCAAATATCCTTTGGTGTTTCTGACAAGGATTATATGTTATTTGTCCCAAATTCAAAGTTTCCTTTATAAAAGGGAGTGGTAAGATGACAAAAGTAGAATTGAGATCAAGGCAGTACTGGTAGACTAAAATCAATAGGGCTAGTCTAAAAATCTATTCTTCCATTCCAATTTAAATGCCCAGGGCATACTGTTTATCATCCGTTCATTTTGTTGAGAGGAAGAAGGGCAATAGCTCATATTCTTTTACACAGAGATAACACCTTCCTTGCTCTCGATCTGAACTGCCTTTTGTCACAATGATATATCATAACTACCTGGTATATCGTAAGAGTTGAAACTTTTGTGAGAATGAAATGTTTGCCAATTTTGGTGAGTATTCATTTTCACTAAATTTCATGTGAGCAAGATAGTAAGCAAGATAAACATATCAGCATTTGCAGCGAGAAAGTAGAGACCAATTATTAAATACAGAGAGGGGTCAGATTTAGCTCTGGAGAGCTCTTGAGGAGCTAGCTACGAACACAAAAAAGCTCTAGTAGAAATACAGAAAATAATAAACTGCAGCAAGTAAATCTGATCTCCATGTTTCAATCGCAAATCCCCCAAAAGAGCTCCTGTAAATAAAAAGTTGAATTGTACACCATATCATTTGCAATACCTAATGTGCCATACATCTATCTCTAAAAGAAATTTTCCATCACTAATGTAGTGTGATGAAACCATGGACATTTTCATTTGTTATGTGATCTACCATTTACAATTCTCCTTCGAAATATAATTCTCATCATGAGAAATAAAAAACTTAAATTGCCTATAAGGCTATATACACATGACACACGTACCTTATGCAGTTGTGCATGAAAAGCCACTAATGTATTGATTGGGGTGGTGAAAAAGGTAGAAAAAAGGGATAATGTCTATCATGATGGATAGTCGTTAAAAGAGTGAATTGCTTTATGCCTGAGCGCCTTATGTAATCAGACAGTGCAGTGCATTGTATGTGGTTCACACGCCACATACATGTTACATGTAGCCGGACTAGGAGAGTAGATGCAGGAGATCTAATGTTTGCTGCTATTGAAAAGAGTATGCAGATCAAATTTATCTTCCCAGGCCCCATCTTTCAGACTTGTAAGAAATGACCTTGCTGATCGAATGTGCAGCATGCAGTCCTGGTATAGTCACTTCTCAGACTTTTTCTTTTTGTTCCTCTGTAGCTTTATTCAAAAAATCAATGTCATGCCTGGTTGATTTTGTTCTTCAACGATCTTTATTCAAGAATTCAACAGACTGTAATTCAATGGAAGAATGGTTTGCAACCTCGTGAGTAGGGCTTGGTAGCCAAACCTGCATTCAGACGACATGTGGCTACATGTACAATATATTCACTAATTGCCCCTTTTTTTCTAGTCCAAATGTCGTATAAAAAAACCTTGCATATAGCTAAACACATGTTTAAGTATCGTTACAAACGAAGACTCGATAAAGAAGTAGGGACACAGAAACCAGTTCTATAGTCTGAATGTTGTATCATACAAAAAATGTACATGTGGGCGTGGCATATTTCATTAGCATGCGCTGATGTTCGGTTAGCTGTCTTGTCCATTGACCTCTTCAGAAACTTCTTTATTCAACGTTTTAATGCTATTTAGCATGTACGCCCCTTTCGCTATAGCTCATTCTTTACACTACATTTTTTCATACCAATTTGATATAGTTTTCTATAGTCTGAACAGCTAGGGCAGGAGAATACTTTTCAATTCCAGGCTCTGCCAATTACTTTAGCCTTGCTAGGGAAGGGTACAGCCCGTACAGGTAATTCTTTAGCCCACTAATCAGTCGGTATCCTGCCCAATTACTCATGAAAAATGCAAAAAGCATAGAAACTAGGCAGGCCGGTATTGGGTGAAAACGACAAGCAAAATTTGTTTCCCACTAGACTTACTGTACATAGTTTATTGTACAATGTTAAACACTATGATATTATTCTTTTTCTCTCTGAATAGAATGGTTGTTTGGTATGTCGTTGTTTCTTCTACTATCTGAGTAAAACGGTCAATGACATTTAAAAAACTTTGGTTGTTTGTTTCAGCTCAATATCTATTGATTCATAGTTCTAAAAAGAAAAACAGGTGCAAAAATGTTTGCACAGCCTATCATATAGGCCTGCTTTATTTCTTAAAATGGAGTTATGTTGATGAAGGAAAAAAAATCTATTAATTAAAAAGCAAGCATTAGAATGGTACTGCTGTCATTGAAATGCAATGCAATTGACCAAAATACTATGTTATGCATTAAAGTTAGATTTTCAAGTCCTGCCCTTTTTGTACACAAATATTCTGCCTGCCAACCATCCAGACAATTAAGAAAAACACTAAATGACCTCAAAGAATGTTTCAGGAAGGAAATATTTGGACTAGCATCCAGTTATCTTCTGTCATCTTGTAGATAACTGTTAATGAGTAATCATTAAGCATGTACATTTACGAATATCTCCAAGTTACTTATTAACTTCTCTTTCTGTACAAATATTAGTCTGGGTTTATTAAATGTGTACGTTACATCTACGACGACTTAAAGCCCCTTTGTAAAGTGTTGCTTTTGGGAGCCCCAAATTCGCTTAAAAATGTAAAGGCAAAATTTCACTTAAATTTTATCATAATGTGAAAAAGGATGTCATTTAAGACCCTCCTGCAAAAATTTCCCTCAAAAAGTGTGTTTTAAGACAAATATTGATAAAAGAATACTTATTTTGGGTTTTCTGTTGTATGCAGAAAACCTAAATTTTGTATTCTTTCATCAATATTCGACTTCAAACACATTTGTGTTGAAAATCCTTGCAGGAATGTGTCTTAAAATGACATCCTCTTTCAAATTATGATAACAATTTAAGTGAAATTTTGCCATAATTTTTTTTGGGCTCCTAACATTTTAGAGGGGCTTTAAAGCACTTCATAGCTATCATCCCACTCATCAGATGTAGGCTACAAGATTAAGGCGACCCTACGCAAAATTTTTAATTAATTTATGCAAATTCCTGCCAGGCATCATAACAATTAAAGCAGAACAAACCACAAGGACTGTCACATCCTACCTAGAACCCACCCGAGTAGAGAGAAGCAACATTAATTTTAAAAATATGCTGTGCTTAAACAGTGTTGTGCCTAGTATTAAACTCATGAGCGTCATATTTTCGATCAAGCGCTTGATACCTAGAGCTACATAATTACAAGTATCAACAAATCCCTAATTCATACCTAGATTTATAGCCCTTCTTTTTTGTCAGCTTTTAAAAACATAACAAGTTAAACCATGTATCAGTTCTACAAATAAAACCATCAACCAAACTAGGTCTATATATATATATATATATATATATATGCTAATGAATTTTATTAATAAAAGAAACCCATGTCTTGTCCGTGAGGGAGGGAGAGAAAGAAGGGCCATGACTTACGCTGGGTCGCTTCCATACGAATGGCTGAGGCGGCTTCTGCTCAAAGAAAAGCGATTCAACGCAAGCAGGAAAGAGAGGGTCCTCAAACTTGGCCCCTGACTGTCTGCACTGCCGTACGATGCTATCATACTCCTTCCCCTGCTTGATCACTTTTTGCTTGAACATGGTGATGAAGTTTTAGCTCCCTTGTATTTTCCAGAAACAATCCACAGCTTTCTGCAGAGGGGGAATCAATGATTAAAATTTCAATATACAAGGTATCAATAATTAGTCTATGTAAGTTTCATATTTATAGCCGTTTTATTTTGTAACTCAATTTTTTAACAGATAGAAAGTGTATACATGTATCACCAAAGGTGCTAAAACTTAAAAGAGATTGTAGCGTGGAAGGAATTCTGGATGGCATCCTGAAAACAATGTTATCTTTAATGTTACTTGTTAGTAAAAAATGATTTGAATTGTTGTTGCTAAATATTATTACTATTATTTTTGTTATGGTGTTAGTTCAGCACAATTTAAGACTATAACTTTTCCCTAACTTGTTAAAGTGAGATAATGTACATCAGTTTTAGAATATGGCCCCTAAATGGGCCTTAAAGGAGCTACACAAAGAAAAATTCACTACAACTGACAATTAGAACAAATTACATATGGAAAGATTTTCTCTTGAAAATCACGAATAATTTGCTGAGAAATCATATAGATATCATGGAAAGGCGTAGATGATACGACAAGCCATAAACGAAACATAACATGAACACAATTAAGGTAGGATTATTAAGACAATTGTCAATTACAAAGAGGGAAAAAATAGTTTTAGAATAATTAAAATTATAGTATTTGCTACAACTTTTTCAAGTTTATACTATAGAAAAGGGAAAAATCAATCCATTAAATAGACTAGCCCTAGCTTAAATTAATAATCAAGACAACTTAACGTTGTTCTTGCTCAGTTGGATAAAATATGTTCTGCAAATTTCTTGTCAATTTCAAATCAAAGTTTAGCATAGGCCGGGCTCGCGCTCCCCAGGCATTAGGCATTACGAATTGTATCAACTGATAAACCATCGTTACCGTCGTTAATCGCGCATCTAAAATTACCATTTTTCTTATCTTATATTACATTTTGACATAATTTGAACGAAAACCCTTGGACTATTAAGAAGACTGGCGCCGTACTTAAACTTTTGAACTAAAAATTAACATCGAAATAGGTCAAGAAAAGACAGTACTTACTTATTCCTCGCTCAGCTCAGTCGACGTGCAAAGGAGTGCAGTGAGGAATACTCATTCGGTGGTACCTAGTACCTGTACAAAGTGTACCCAACCCTACCATACCCCAGGGCTACGCCGACCACGCCCACAGATGGAGCTGTTTAAATCGAGAGACGTGTGAAAAACGGAAAATCAGAGAACGAATATAATATGCTAGTTCTGATTTGTTTTTGTTTCTTTCCTGTACATGAAAAACTATAAAATACACTTTATATTACATAGTGGCATTTCGTTCATTAAGTTATTTTATTATTCCCTCTAATTTAAAGTGGAAAATTTATGGTATCAAACACGACTGTTTGATACCATAAATTTTCCACTTTCTTTATGTTATATATTTTAAGTAGGCATCGTTTGTTTTACCAAATTCCATTTCCCACTTTCTTTATATATCTGAAAGACAAATATTAATTCTATCCAAATACGTACATGTATATATACATGTATATATATTTTATTCATAAAGACAAAACGATTAAGATAATATTGCTGGAGATAAAATCAGAATGTTTAGATGAACGTAAAAAAGGTGGGAAAACGCTAATTTGAGGATGCCATCTTGCTGCCCGAAGATGATTTTATGTTTACTCGAATGTTGGAACTTTAAGAGTCTTCAGAGAGAATGGAGCCGACACATATTTCCTTTTACTGCAATAGAACGGTATAGTGCCCGTTTTCTACTACTTCTTTCTCAAATGGGTCGCAAAATCAACAAACTCTCTGGAGACATAAAGTCAAGAAGAGCAAGCAGTGGCGTAATGAGCAAAAACGTTTGGGGGGGGGGGGGGGGCTGACACACACAAAAAATCCGCATCACCCCACTCTAACATGCAGGCCCCGCTGAACAGTTCTCAAAGTAGGGTCTAATGGGTATGGGCATCAGTGGCGGATCCAGAAATTTCTTACGGGGGAGGGGGGGGGGGGCACAAAATGGCATGGGGTGAAGTATACTTATGTGAAACGATGAAGCGACAGAACGAGGCTTAAGCGGCGAGGGAGCGGAGCAACCAAGCGGGGGTGGGAAGCATTTGCAATTTTAGAACCAAAATAGACGCATTTTCAGGCCATCAATTACCGACAAATATATTAATGCCCAATGTCCAAATGTCTACAAATTTAACCCAATAAACCCGGGGCCAGGAACTAAGTTATTATTCAGTTCCCCCACCCCCTCCCGCGTGAAGCGCAGTAGCTTTGACACTTCATTAAATTATTAGAGAA